TTCATGTATTTTCATTTCTTTTGCATCTTCATAGCTCCATACACGTGATTATTACTCTTGTCTCAGGGGTAAGAGTTAAGTTACTTTGATGATTGGACTTTGTCACTATGGCCGATGGGCCCTCTTTTCCTTACCCACTCCAATTTCCCGGCTGGGAACTAGCTGATAGTTGACATTCTGATTGTCCTTAGGGGATTAGATCAATATAGCTTATTAAAGCCCAAACTGGGCTAATATAAGCATAAGCAATTAGCATTTAAGCATTTAAACTTTGATATGATTTAAATCAAGTTCCTCGTCATTATAATTCACTTCCGATAGTGAAGAAAGTGACCCAGAGGTTATTGAAAACAAAAAACATTTCGATTGACAGATTAGTCGGTATTCTCAACACAGCAATTATAGGACTTGAACAGCGGAACTTTGTAACTAAACAAGAAATTATGTCTGTTTAATAGAATTACAGAGAAAGTATTATCACATGAAACGAAGCAACTTACATTGAAGGAAATATTTAATAAAGTAAACAAATAAATATTAAGCTTTTTCTTTTTGTAAATTTTGATACCCTTTAGATCATAATTGTTCTTTATTTCATAAATTACGGTTTCATATTTTTAATTTTGTAATTTCTGCATGCCATCCTACCAGATTTAAACTGATGATCTATAATCCGGAAAAATCGATAATCCGGAATCGCCGAAGTCTCGACGAGTCCGGATTAACGACTTTTGACTGTATTTACAAGTAAAATTAATAAAAGGTAAGCTATATGCTAAACGAATTAAGTAATTTTAAATACAGTAAAAAACAAATCAATTGATCGAGGTAAAAATAAAAATAGTAAGCTATATGCTAAACGAATTAAGTAGATTTAAACACAGTAAAATACTAATCAATTGATCGAGGTAAAAATAAAAAATAAAAATTAAGAAGCTGTAAATGGTTAATTAGCCCAATTCAAAGTTCATTTTGGCTCATCAAGGGAAATTTTTAAAATGAATTTCGAACTAAGCTAACTCCATCACGTGTTTCGCCAAAACAGACTACTGAAACTTGACCAAAATTGGTCTTTTTTGTATTGTTCTCACAACTTTTCTTATAATATATATATGTGTGTGTGTGTGTGTGTGTGTGTGTGTGTGTGTGTGTGTGTGTGTGTGTGTGTGTGTGTGTGTGTGTGTAAAACTGGAAGGCTGTTGAAGGTAGATAATAATTTAGAGATGCTGAAGATGCATAATGAAGAACAAACTTATAGTCAAGGCAAATTTAAAATTCCTTTTTTTTATTTAGTTGACCAAGTGTTTCAATAAGCCAACATAAATAAACTCTATGTCCATAGCGCTTGTTTATGAAGAATTAAATCAGTATTGTTACATTTAAAAAATATCATTTTAAAGAGAACAGACACAGTAGAATAAGCAGAAGCAAAATTTGATATATTCAGGGCGAAATCTAAATTCACAGTTAGTTAGTTTGGTGAATCTTCGGATTATGGTAACTTGGTGATGTTTTGGCGAAAATTTGGTGACCAACCCTGCTGACCAACTAGTTTTTTTTTTTTTTTTTTTTTTTTTTTTTTTTTTTTTTTTTTTTTGGACGCCATTTTGTTTTCACGAAGTAAAGGCATTTTTTTTTTACTCAAAATTTTTTACAACAATCTGCTAGCCGAATTACGCTTATGCTAGAACTTTTATGGAACAAACGTGCTTAATCATGACGAAGATTAGGTGCGAAATTGGGAGAAAGTGCAGAATCGCCCACTGCTTCCCGCGTTTTTAAGAATTGCACATACACGGGGCCCATTCTTGACTTTATCCATGTACACATCAACTTATTTTCACTTAAAAAGTCAAAGAAAATTGACAAAAATCCAATTCTTCTTACTCTTGTAAAAAGCGCAAAGAAGTGGGCGATTCTGCACTTTAGCAGTGAAATTCTTTCCAAGCGCTTATTAGCTAAAATCACGATCGGAATTTTCCGGAAAATGTAGCATTACATGTCTCATGATCTCTCATTTCTCCGAGACAAAATAATCTGTGATTCGAACTGTGTACTTCTCAGATTATTGCTAAAGTCATAGCTAGTGACCTTTATCGCCTTACCAAAATGACACCAAACTACCTGTTACCATATTCCAAAGATTAGCCATTAGTTTTGATTTTGATATCATTTGACTGGCTAGTTGATATAGCTTTAAAATTATTATTGGCAGCTTGAGTTACCATTCACAAAACCATTTACATGACCAGCATTATGTAAAAGTCATATGGCAAATACTAATTTTTAAATGGTGCAGTTTACAGAGATCTATTATAAGCAATTATTATTTTTAGAATAGAAAGAGGAAATACATAAATTACAATGAAGAGTTAAGGAACTATTAAAAAATTAAAATTAGAATTTTGATTTACATACTTTTTATCTTGCACATACACATAAAAAATAAATACATAAAATAAAAAATATATTAATAGAAGCTGAAGCAAGCATTATGTATTTCAAAGCACCTGTTCCTCAATGCTTCAGATTATTTTATGATATTCCAAACGACATCATGAAGGTCATGGTAGATTATACGTATGAAGCATTCATAAACATACATCTAATGTTGGTTAAGCAAATAGGAATGGATGAGAAGCACAGTGATTGTACTAGGAGCAATTTTCAATGTATTGTATTTATGCCTTTACCATTATTCACGAAAGACTGAGAGAAACTGACTTGTTTGCTATCTCAAACAGAGATACAGGACATATGCAAAGCGTGCATATTCTGAAAATAGAAAACTAGATTTGCAGCAGCTTTGTCCTCAAGTTTACAAGCAGTTAGTTGCATTTAACATTGGTATTTGTCACAATATGTAGAATGTTATACATGCACCATAAGGCATGCTCCTCTAACACATGCAAAATGTCCAATCTTTAAATGCAGATGATTATCCCTACTGGCTAATGCTTGCGAGATAATATTCCAGAAGACAATCTATAAAATACTGACAAGCTGCAATTTTCTGCCTTTGGACCAAAGACCAAAGTGTTTTGGTTACAAGGTACCTTTGCAAATTAATTGCAATTACCTCCACATTATAGTTAAGAAAAACGAATAATTAAGAGTAAGCATTTGCTAAAGAAATAAAGAAATCCATTATGGGCTAAAGAAAAATGCTTGATAAGAATTGCCTTTGGGTTATTCATTCATGAGGTCTCATTTATCCAGAAAGGCATTTTCAGCACTTGCGACTAACATGTCAGGGCTGAAAGCAATCCTTATGTCACTGCCTCTTGTACATACCAGTAGAAATTTGCCATGCAAGCACCCTTGGTGAATGCCAAGTAAGTGATGCAGAAATTGCCAAGTTTATGCATAACAGAATTCCAGCACACTTTATGACCATGGTCTGACAGTTGCTGACTACAATGTATGCAAAATAATGGACTAGTTACCTCCTCCATATTCAACAGACCTAAATCTACTGGAATGTCAGGGACACATAAAATCTTCAGTATGTGACATATCTATGGGCTCTATGGAAGATCTCATCACATAAAGCATTGTTGCAGAAGAAACATGACACCAACAGTAACTCCAACTACTTAGTGATTGTGAACTACTTGGTGACTTCATTAACTCTATTCATTAACTAACTACTTCATTAACTTCATTAACTAACTACTTAGTAGTGCAAAGATTTTAAATATACAAGAACGAGGGTAAAAGTTTACAATTGGGTGCCCCTTGTTTTTTGGAGATTTTTTTTTTTTTTTTTTTGACGCCAAGATCGCACCAGGAAGGCACAATTTCAAGATGGCTGCTACACAAAACCAAAAAAATAAGAAGTCAAAGAATTGCATAAACTCCACATACATTGCACAAACTCTACATACTCAATGTGTCCATGTACACATCGATCTGTTTTCACTTTAAAAAAAATCATCCTACAATAGCACAAACTAGGCATTCCGCACTGCCTTAAATTTGTCCATGTACACATCAGTCTATTTTCATTTAAATCAGGAAACTAAAACAAAGTTAAAACTATCATGGTGACCAGAAGTGAGGTTTCATCGCCAAAATTTAAAAAAAAAAAAATTGCCGCTAGTCAAAGGGGCACCCAATTCTACACTAGAGCCAAAACGAGATATAAAATGAAAATGTTCTGTATCATCATCATAGTGATTATTCAAATAGTAAGGAAATTTGAACTGAATATTCTGGTATCAATACAGTTTCTTCTTAATATATAATATTAATTATATATGATTAATATATAATTTAAGTTCTGCACTGCAATCCTAAGGTTAATTCTTACTAATCTCAAAATTTCAGCTGGAAATATCACAGGTATGAGAAATTCAATGTAATATTTTAGCCCATCATTTTGATGAGGGTAAGTAATAACAGGTTTAATCAACACATAAAAAACCTATTTTATAATACTCTTTGATGAATGAATGCATAGTACCATAAAACGTTTAAAAACAACGAAGGTTACTTAAAAAGACAAAATAAAAAAAGATTTATTTAATTGATACAAAATAAAACAATAACAAGTAAACAAGTATACTTTGGGAGTAATATCAGCAAATCCTTAAACAGAGAAGATTGTGAACTTAAGAGTAATACTATTAATAAAAATGCAACTGTTCCATTTTAAATTATTCTCAGCACGATGAGAACCATGTACCGCACATTTCTTCGAAATATTTATAATATTGCAGCACACCATTTAAATATAACCGGTTAAAAAAAAATTTCGGATTAATAAAAGACCGATACACAAAAACACAGATATTATATCATGTCGTACACCTATTGAGTCGATTATCTCTCCTATCTACAAATTATCAGACATCATAAGAGCTTCACCATAATAAAATAAAATTTTAAAATCTCAGAAGTTTAAATATATTTTCAAAGTTTAAAAATACTACTAGCATTTTGATTTAAAAAAAAAATACCAATTCTAACGAAAGAGCAAGAAGTTGTTACAAACCTACATAAAATTCAAGAACTTTAGAGACAAACTACTTAATGCCGTAATTTAAAGTACTCGAAGTTACCTATCTGTCATTCCAAAACACAGACACACCGATCTTTATTATGATGCCAATCTGAATTTTGAAATTTATGTATAAATTAATATGGATTAGCAAGAAAAGACGATTTTGTTAACCATAAAATTTTTATTTTTGTTTGTGGTGATATTCAATAGCAAAGAGGAATTGTTATTTTCATGGTTTAAAATTAGAGGTAAACAACATAATAGAAAGCATGAATTAATTTACTGAAATCGAAACTTAGGCATACAGGGTATCTGATGGACTTAAAATCCAGATTAAGTTTCTGCTTCAAGCATGGCCGGATTATGACTTACAGAGACCTAAACACTTTGGGTACCCCACATATGCTTACACGAGTTTTATACTCATTCCTTATTTCTCTCGGCTTTGGTTAAGTTGCACTATGGAGATGAGATGCACCATACATTTCATGGTAAAACTGGCAATGGGAAAATTTTTGGTGCCCTTTTTTCCTGTATACCTAAGGACCCTTTGCGTATTTCCAAACCAAGGAGGTTAGAATAGACCTCCTTGTTCCAAACCCTACCTGGATGGTTCCTGGATGGTAATTCTTGAGCATGCGCTGAAGGGCGAGAAGTAACATAAACAGAACTTTGTCTTGCATTTGTAAACACTATTAAGTATATTGTTTGAAAGTGCGTTCGTTTATGTAATTGCATAATTTGACTGTTTCTGTAATAAGAAAAATTCATTTAGATAAAATTTCTTTTAATATTATTATTATCTGGTTATAGGATTATACTCTAGGTACTATCATAATCTTCGCATAACCTTTCACATTGTATTTTGCGTTATCATTGTAAAATATATTGTATTATAAAGATTAAATTACTTTGTTAGAAATGTGAATGTTCTAATTTAATTTTCTTTTTATCACTTATTATTTACTTCCGCTTTGAAAACACATTCATATTTGGCAAATAATTATCTCCGCTGAAAATTTTTGATTGTTAAAACTATATTTGTCAATAATGTAATAAAAACTCACCAATCTGGTGCTTCATAGATCAATATGACAATGAATTCGAAATGTTTTAAAAACAGTTCTTTAATCTTTAGTTTGTAGTAGATGCAACTAATGTCACAGAGAAAAAATATTTCAATAAAAAAGTTCCCCATGTTAATTCAATAGCAAAATTATTTCTATTTCAGTGACAAATCCACTTTCAATGCTTATATAACAGAAAAATGGGAAACATAAAGCATTTTAGAAGTTTTAAATATAAGCTAAAGGTTTGCTGTACAATTTTATGTAAGAAACGTAATAATTTACTTTCATTCCTTTTAAATCGGCATATTCGTTTCCAATAGATAACTAAAATTTTTGGCAAGTTACAGACTTAACTTGAACACACAGTATTCCATCACTTAAAATATCAATTAATTGTTCTTTTTCATTTAGAGATACATTGGAATTGAAAATACCAAAGGCAAAATGGGTCACAGATCCAACCTAATTCCTTATTTGAAAATTTTTCAAAAAATTTTCTGTCAGTTTTATCATATGTTGTTTTAAACAAGAAACCTGTATTATTTTCTTTAGTAAATTCTGAAAATCATGTTTCTGTTGTTTTTGTTCAATGCTCCTTGCCAAAGTATTAGCTTAGTTTTAAAAGCTTCAATATTGGTGCTCAGTATTAAAATGCTTAGGTTTTTAGAAAATGTCTGCTAAGTAACTGAGTTTTCCTAATTAATCATTATTAATGAATGACCTTGCTGATGTATGTTTCTTTTCTTCCGAAAATATGTAAACTGTATTTCTCAAATCGAAAATATTTCTCGCTATTTTTCTGTGTGAAAGCCAACTGACTTTGGTAATTATGTCCCATATACAGTACTTATCTAATTACATTGTATTAAAAAGAGACAGCTGTTTAAGATCTTGCCTTTTAATGTAATTAATTGCAGTAATAACCCTGCAATATCTTGTGCAATTCTTCATCAATTTGCAACAAGAGCTTTTCTATGTGTCATACAGTGATGGAATATTATATGGGGAGCAATTTTCATCATTAACCCTCTTAGTCTTTATAATTACCTGTTTATGCTGCAACATCATTAGTACAAACTGCGATACAGTGTGTCTAGGTAAGATTATTCGTTTCAAAATGTCTGTTAATAATTTCAAATATTTTCTCTCCGGTTGCTTTTCCTTTCCAAATATTACAACATAAAAAATATTCTACTGCGTCGTCTTCAAAAACGTATCTCAGATAAACGATGAATTGAGACATTTTTATAATGTCGGTAGTTTCATCAAGTTTTATAGTAAAGACTGGATTTTGTATTCTATAGTGTCTGATATTACAGAAATTTGGTGAGAAACGGTATCTTTTTTAATGCTATTGTTTTTAAATCAGTATATATTTTTGCATGCATAACTGATGTCATTTTAATTGCTGAAAGAAGAATGAGCGATTCTCCAATTGTATGAGGTTTTAAATTTTTTGCAATTAAATATGAAACTTTTAAGATGGCTGTAAATCCTTTTCAGGAAACTGTTTGTAACTTTTTTTTCAAAAAATACAGTTTAATTTTTTTTTCATGCTCTTAGCTCATTCCTTAAAAAAATTCTTCAGATTTATTTACTTAATCATTTATGCTTAGTTTCTGAGGTACTTTCCGTTTACGTTCCCGTTTCACTGGGCGCAAATCTCGTCAAGCAGAACTTTTGTTGTCGACAACATACAATATAAAAATAAAAAATTTTTAACAAAAACTTTTGGTGGTTTAGTTCTAGCCCCTGTCTAATGAATTTTTTTTATTTTGAAGGCAAAAATTTAAACATTTTAATACCTTTTAAAATTTTGTGTAAAAAAAAAACAAAAAAAAACAAAAAAAAAAAAAAACCAATAAATAAAGACAATAAATTTGTAAAAAGACATTAAGAATTTACTATGTTTTCATGTTTCAACATCCTGATATGTCGGTTCTTATCACGTGATCTCATCTCACGTAAACTACGCTACAAAAATCTAATTCTCTCGGTAATTATCTACATTAATGACAAGTTAAATCTTAATTTGGAATACAAGTTTAAATGCAAGAATTATTTTAATTCATACGAATAGTTTATTCAGAAATTATGTAAAACCACAGTGCTTTACTTCGCTAGTCCATTCTCATTAGAATTGATGAATTTGACCTGTGATTTTGCCTTTTCTATATTTTCGCCTTCAGATGAGCGGTGTGATTGCATTCTAATTGACTTAATTACCGCGAATGGTCTTAGAGCATAAAATTTAACTATCTTGTATAAATTCTATGTAATTGTATGCCAGTACAGTCAATCCGATAAGAAATTGGCTGCTACTTGTTTTGAAAATGAGGTGTAAAAGGTTGCCAGCAAAGGTATTCTGTTTGGCATCAGTTGTACCATTGTTGGCAACTTTTTCGTTTGCACCGTCAAAACGGAAAAGTACCGTTTCTAAATGTGTTTTTAATTTCGTAGGTTTCATACTTTCCATGTGCCAAGTTTTCACTGCATTTAACACACAATGGATATTCATTTTCCATTAATAATGTAACATGTAAAACAGTATAAAATAAACTCTTCTTGATATTTTCTCAATTTTTTTAGAAGTAAAAAGAGAGCCAGTGGATTCATTATTGTTTGCATTTTCATTAATAGTTTTTCTCTAAGTTTATTTGATGTTGGTCCATCCATCCCGTTTCTCTTGTGAACATTGGGTATCTATTTTGGGCCATTTAACCATCATGAATAAAATTGCAGCTAAAACAAAATTGTTTTTATTATCCTTTGAGACACTACTTTGATTACACTACTTTCCAATACTTAGGAAATGTTATGTGCTTACTTGACAACAAATTTGATTAGGATTAAGAAACATAGTTTATAAATGATGCGTATTACAATTATATGCAAGACACTACTAACATAGTCGAAAAAACTACATCTTAGCTACGCGTATGCAATTGCTTTGAAATTCGATTCGAGCTGTTTGGAAATCATCAAGCATAACACACAAATCAAGTGGAAAGCAATAAAATCAAAATTAAAATATGGAAATGTTAAAAAAACATCCAAAAATTCTCTTCAAATTCCTGTATATCTTTTATTGTCAAATAAATATCTCTGAATTTGGTGACCCCCCACAAATTTGTTCACGACTCCCAGGTTTAAATTTTGTAAAAAAACAATACAAGTTATCAATTGCATTTTGAAAAAACAGAACAGCATGCAATGGAGTATTTTTAAAATTATGGGAAAGTACGACTTATGTGAAAATTGATAAACATTGGCTGTCCAATGTGAAAAGTGAATTACGGTTTAATATGTTATGTTCATAGCTTGTGTATTTTGATTATCTAACTAAATACAGAATGATCCGTTCCTTCAAACTTCTGCTGGAATAACTGCTAGAAAATCTATCCCATTTCAGATGAACAGAAAGCAAGTTTTATTTTCTTATTCAACAATTACAGTACTCTCGCATAATACTTACAAGGAATGAGTTAGGTTATTTAACTAAAGTGCAATCAATTTTATTCCTTATTTACATGAATGACGTATCACACAATGCTGTGTAGGCTGGTGACCTAGCGATGATGACTCAAAATGCATCTCTGCATTCAGGCATACACTCCTTACAAGAATATAACCATGCACTGGAGTCCTAGCTTCAGCAGGTACATTTTGTTGTGCTATGCAATCTCTGTGGGTCCTAAATTCTAAAAACTTTTCCACTCCTAAATTCCAAAAATTTTGCTACTTGATATTTCTGTAAATTCCAAAATTTTGCGCACACCTGCCATAACTGCACTGGCTGTGGCTTCAGTTATCCAAAGTTCTAGCAAAATCAAATATTGTAACGTTATTTCAGACGACTTTCTTAAACTGTAGATCGCAACCCCCATCTACAGCAGGGAGTCGCAAAAAATTTTATTAGTTTTGGTATTTCTTAAACTTAATATAATAATTTTACAATTACCCAATATTTTTACACAATGTATCTAAAAATAGA